TGCTTCCAGAAAAGCAATAGGCGACATTAACAAAAGGATTACTCCAAACTCAAAAGCAAATGGGATTTGTGACCCATTATATTAACCGGGGACTGGGGAAAGCTCTACAGAGAGAGAACACTGCCAGCAGGTCACCAAACCAATTATTAAGAGCTCACAGATCACGAGGCTGGATATATACACGCATCAAGATAAATTTCTATTTGCCTGCAGAAGCAGGACGCTAGCTGAGCCACCCTCCCAACTCAGTGGGTTTTTTCTATGTGCCCATTAAACCTGGATTACATGTAGTTACTTTCCCCAATAATTCATTTCCCCCACAGGTTTAATGCTGTGGAATAACATTTGGGAGGGTAAAGCCTGAAAAGGAGAAGCGGAATGGGCATAATTACTTTGACAGATGAGAGCGGGGAGCAGGCTGGCAGCACCTGGTGGGAGCAGGCCAGCCGCACACACGCTCACCCCCAGCATCGCTCACGGTCCTCCCGGCAGCGACGCTGGCCCGTGCCTCCTGCCCCAACGCCCGAGAGGGAGAGCAGCCCTTAGACACAAGGTCATCTGCCTCTGACATTGTCTCTCACCTCAATCTCCAGCGGGGATCAGCTTAAGCTGGAAATTGCTAGCTGTAAAATTGTTTCCTAAGCTTTTGCTTTGGTTAACTATGAGATGGCCAGCTCCTGCCAGCCCTGTCCTGCTCCTGCTGTAGGCTGCGCCGACGAGTCCTAAAGCCTCATATGAGCGGCGCAAAGGCGTTGTTGCCTTGCCTAGGTTTTGAAGACGTGTTGTTGCACTGTTGCTGACTAACCCTTCACATCTGGATGAAGAAATGCCCCTGGGTCTCAGAGCACTGCCTACGACATCCTACCAGAGGGTTTTAAACCCCACCAAGGTCTGTTAGGGAAAAGTAGTCTTGACGCCAAAGCTGTCTCTAGAAGTCCCTGAAGGGGTTTCCTGCTGTCAGCATTTCGTGCTCACCTCACAAATTCCTGGCTTTGCTTTTTGAGGACTTGGTGTTAAGGATTGGGTATTATCAGCAAAGCTTCTGGAGTGTTCTTACCCTTAGTTCAAGTTTCCCAGTAGCCCCTGCTCCTTTCAGAGTCATTCTTACCTTTACAGAGATTCACCCAAGTGCTGTCTTCTGCCCACCCCACTCTGCATCCTTCCAGCATGCCGGTTGTGTCAAAACACAGGCATGATTTCACAAGGAAAGAGAAGAAAAAGATGTCCCCAACACAGAAAGATGAGACCTAATTCACTCATATCACTGGTGACCTCAACCAGGTTTTCCGCAGCGTTTTCTGCCACAAGCAGAGCACCCCACGCTGCTTCTTTTTGGAATGGGCAGCACTCACAGGTACCCCACACAGTGCCAGAGGAACTCCCTCCGAAGGCAGATCTCCCTTCCAACACAAGCATGGGAGCCTGAGCAGAACAAAAGCAAAGTGACTAACGCTGCTGGAGAAGCCTTCTCCTCTGGGACAAGGAGCGAACCCACAGGCTGCCCCAGCTGGGATAGCCTAACTCCTAACCTCCCCGGGCCAGCCTACCCCTTGCCCTGGCAGGGAGGGACACCACAGGGTGCTCCCTGCTCACGGCTGTATTTGGGAGCAATCGCATCTCTCCTCCTAAAGCTTCTCAGAGAGCAGGATGCGGCGTAGCCTGTGGCTCCAACGGCCTGTCCTGGCTCTACATGTATTTATCTTCTAAACGTTGAAGCTTTCGGTTGCTTGGAGCCAGCCAGGAGGAGCAACAAACAACAGCTTCCTATTATGCGAGAGACCACAGGGTTCAAGTGTATCACAAAACATGCAAGCAGGGCTCTGCTTAGAGAGCACCAATCCCCAAACCTCCCGCAGACAGGGAGGGTTATCAGCTAGGGAAGATATTTTGTAGGGGAAGTAGAAGGACGCTGTACCTGTGAAGCTGAAAAGTGGTTTTATCAGGACTTGTTATCTCTCCTTCACTGGAGGGGAGTGCTAACATCAATTTGTCACAAAGAAAACCTTCATCCCTCTCTTCTAACATGGTGGCTTAAGCAATGGCTCAGATGCCGGTGTTTTAGACTGCAACTGATCCTTCCATTTGTTTCTGCTCCTGGAGGCTTTTGGCAACAGCTGCTGGACTGCATCGCACCAGGGAAAGGTCATCGTGATATGACTCCTTCTCCCTTTTTGAGTATTCCATGAATGGAAGCATCCTGTGCTGAAAATGACTTTGAGGAGCAGAAAGTCTCCACGGAGACTGCTCTCCTGCTTCCTCCCTGATGCGTGCAGTCAGGGGAAGGTAATGCTCAGACACCGGCCCTGGCAGCTGCAGCACTGATGTTAGATGAGCCCCACATTGCTGCTCTCAAAGCGAGAGTCACAGGTCCTTCCCAAAACCCCTCTCTGGCACACACTTCACAGGAGAGCTCCGATTGATCCGACTGTGCCTTGCACTAAAGGGCCAAGGCAAACTCACTGCCTTCCCAGGTACTTGCTGCGGCTTCAGGTTCCAGTAGAGAGACCTTGTGTGAGGTGGCCTTTGCCAAGGAGAGAAAAACCCTCCAGGCTTCGGGTGCAAAGAAGCTGCAGGCTCCCTCACCACCCAGCCAAACACAGCTTAGTGTTCCATGCCCAACACAAGTGAAATGCTCCCCCTGCTCTTTGTGCTGGGCTGCAGGAAGCATACCACAGCAGCTCTCTCCCAGCCACGGCTCCGTTTTCTTCTGTTTCAGGAAAGAAAAAAGCACTCTCAGAAAAGGTTTTAAGGCTTTGTGCTATCTTTTCAGTAGTTACTGCCAAAATACATCCCACCAGCCTGCTCGAGCAGACTTTTGCAAGGATACGGGTATAGGTGTGCACTGAGCGGAAAGACAGCCTGCAGCCACCAAGTTATCAAAGGAAAATACCAGCCTCAGTGATCTACCACGGGACCTCTGGGACTAGAGGTGAGATGCGAAGGTACAAACCACCCTTCCTGCTGGGAAACCTGCATGATATCCCTCTGCCTTCCCTCTCACCGAAGTTGGAGAGGCCGGGAGCAAGCCACACAGACTAACTGAGCGAAAGCACCCAAATTGCAAGATCTAGGATTGTCTACAGCAACTGGCTGAGGGTTTTCAAATAAAATCCATTTCAGGGGGAGAGGACGCTGTTCCTATGCAAGTTGCGAACAGAAATTTGTATTTTAAGCGATGAGAAGAAAACAATTCCAGCTTCCAGTAAAGACCAAGCTTCTCCCATACCTGCTATCTGTAAAAACAAAGGCCTGAGCCCAAGGAAAAAAAAAAAATTAAAAAAGCAGACCGTTGATTCTGACCTTTCACTGCTGGAGGGAGCTACACCTCTCTCAGCACCCACAGCACCCAAAGCCTTGTAGCTTGAGCAAGCCAGAACTGCCTGGGTTTGAAGATCAGCAAGCTACCAGCACAGCCTTTTCTCCTTTGTGCTCCTGAGTTGGAAAGCAAATAAATACTGATTAAATAGCATTTTATATGCTTTGGAAGTTTCACTGCAGCAACACAAAACCTCCCCTTGGCTAGGGAAATGGGGTGGAGACCTTGGCAAAGGGCATGCCCCAAGCCTGTACCCACAAAGCTCTGCTCAGGGGCTGTGTTACGGCCTGCAACAGGGTGGAGGAGAAAAGCCTAACCCTGAGGTGACAGCACCCATGGCCACCCAGGCTGGTGGGGCACAGCCTAAGGGGAAGGCCTCACCTTTCCCCTCTGCAGGAGCTTTAAGTCCTGGAGAAAGCATCCTTCAGCGGTTCTGACCTCAGACAGAAGCCAAAAAAACTACAGTTTTTCAGGTACATATTCCGCTCCGCATTTACTTCCTCCTTGCAAGTGCTCTGCGCTGCAGACACCACCTCCCTGCCAGGCCTGCAAGGGTGCTTCAAGAAACCAAGTTTTGTTTTGCTGGTAATTTATGGCAAGCCTGTATCTCCCCAACTGCCCAGCGTTAGAAAACAGAAAGTACAGCAGCTACCCCCCCACCCCAATGGCTTGTGGAGTGATTAAGGATAGCTTTAATTTGAGGCCTGCAGCTCAACAGCTCCCAAAAGATTGATAAAATATATATAGCAATCTCCAGTTCCACCTCTGGAGGCTGAACTCTCTCCCAGTGATTAACGACAGCTATTTCCTCCCTCTCTCCCTGCTGCTGAAGGCAGCTGATTCCCTGCAAGGTCCAGCCAGCTCTGGGCCCACACTCTGACTACCAAACAGCAACATTTACAACCAGAAAAAACCCTCCAAGAAACAGGACCAGCCCCAGAGAGGTGAGACAGCACCATATAAGCCCAGGATAGATCTTCTAATAAAGACATTGGGGTAATAGGGTCAGGCTACCTGAGGCAGACCTGGCTGGACTGGGTTTGCAGTGCTAGCCTAACGCACCAGGAATGGGAGCCAAGAACTCCTCAGGAGGCAGCAACTCTAGAGCAGCCTTCTCTCACCCACAAAAATTGGCCTCTCAGCCCCGAAGGCTGCTGCTCAGATGTTATCCTCCTGCAGTGTCTGTGCTACAACTTCAGGCTCAGGAGGACAGTGGGGGTGGGAAAGCAGCACTCATCTACAGAAAGAGCTGCTGCCTCCTCATGCAACTGTCCCCTCCATGGTCGCTGCCTGTCACAGACTCTAGGCCAGAGGCAGCTCCAACACAGATTAAATGTAAATAAACTGTGAATATTCCAGGGGTTTTTTTCTGGTTTCCCAGAAACCCAGCTTGCCCAGCCTTGTGTCCAGGAGGGTCTGTTCCCACCTCGACACACAGATAGCCCTCCAGCGCTGCTCTTATTAAAGAGCACGTGCTGAAGACAAGCATTAGCCACTGCTTAGAAAAAAAAAAAAACTAACACTTGAGCTCTGGACTCTGACAGGAGTCTGGCGAGGAGAGCGAGCCTCCTGGCTACCACAGCCCCAGGGAATCGCACACTTGGGAGAGGAAAAGATCACAACACGCATTTCCAGAGGAGGTGGAGGAGGATTCAACAAAAGCAAGGAACTCCCTGAAGAGAGCTTCACTTCCTAGTAGAATTTTTAATATTTATTTAGTACAGGCCCGGTGAAGAGAACTGGGAAATAAGGCAAAGGCAAATTATCCTCCAGAGCCCAAGTTAAGATCTTGTACACACAGACCATGCAAAGCAGCAGCTGTGCTCCTCCCTGGAGTCCGTTCCACATCTTCCCCATCTGCTGGAGCACAGCCTATGGCTTATAAGTCCAGAAGGAATCGATTCACTTTTTTCAGGTATTCTGACTTCAAGTAATCTCCCAGCTCGTCCTTTGTGACCCACAGGTAATCTTCCTTCAGCTCCGCCTGGGACAAATCACTGCTCTGGAGGAAGGCTTTGAAGAAGAATACTTTGGCTCCCATGTTATCCTCAGTCCTGATGGCCCTGGGGAATTTATACTTGTAAATCCCATACGGCGCATTCCCCAGGATTTTGGCTTGAATGTGATCTCCTGCAAGACCCCAGCAACGAAAGAGAAAGACAAGAAAACAAGATGTAAGAACACAGAGCAACAGTAACTGCTCTCCTCTACTGAGGGAAAGGCAGCGTAAGCCACTCCTTGCATCTGGTTCAGACCAACTGCTCCTTCTCCGCAGAAATAGTGCCAATTGTAAGCATTTTCTCATGAAAAAAACCAACTTGTCTTGGAGTCCAGCAAGTGGAGTGAGAGAGCTTTACCAACCCACACCACAAAGCAGGGAGACGTAGGTTTGCTATTACCCATCTGCCACAAAAGCTGCTACAGAGCTACAAGAAGGAAAAGGAAGCCATACCTCTGGAGCAAGCCTCAATCATTCAGGGGGCACTGAGTGATGATCCAGCTTCAGACCTTATCATTAAGGGTCGGACCTGGCATCACAACTGCTGGCAGCCAGAGACCCCAGCTCACAGCCTGACAGCCCAGTCAAGCCCCCACAAGCTGCAGTCGCTCTACGACAGTACAGTTACAGAGCCAATTCCCTGGAATCATGGCTCTTGCCAGAAAGCCCACCCCACTGAGCCCTGTCCCTCTACCATGGAATGCTATTTCCCAGCAGATGGGAGGGAATTTCACTACAGCAGATAGCAAATACCCCTCAGACGGGGCACAGGAAGAAAACCAGTAGGACAAAGAGGACAGAAGGCCAGACACACAACAAAACACACACCCAAAAATGTAGCCATGGCTCGCTCAGCTGTGCTTCGTAGTGTCTCTCCAGGCTGCCATTCCACCTGAGGCAGGAGCCACTGCTCCTGGTTACCAATCTTCTGTTTCACGAGAAGCATCAGGTTACTGTCCAGCTTCCTGTTCAGCGATGTTCGATTGTTGTTTTTATCGGCATCTGCCAAAAACAGGCATAGGCTAGAAACAAATTCTCCAGGCAGTACTGCTCCAATCCCCTTGATTCATCACCCCCTCTCCATCTCACCCCCTTCCAGCAACAATACACAAACATAGATACACAGAACAAGACAAAAATCTAGACAAAAATGCTCTCAGTTGCTCTGGAATCCAGTGCAGGATTCAGCTGGAACCTGCTGCTAGACTGCACTCTGCTTCATTCACAAAAAGAATTTATAGCAACAGCCTGAATCTCTACCTTGACAAAAATCAACAGGAGCACTAGGAAACAACATCCAATTGCATCATTTTGCTCTGGTAAGGTTGAACACGGACATCTTCGCAGCACGGGAACACCAATCCCCGCTGGGCTAACTGTGCTGCCACAGAGTCAAGACTCTCTTTAAAACAACCGAGACTCAGCAAGTGCCTTCCCTCCAACAAAATGCACTTTTCTGTGTAAAAAAGACTCAGCAAATGCCTTCTTCTTCTGAACTGCATTCAGCTGTGTATGGCAGATAATCGGGGTGTTCTCACCCACCACGAACTTCAGCCTGTACCTGTTATCCGTGGAGCAGCTTCGAACCGCAGAAACTTCTGGTCCCACTTGTCCTCCAGGTCCTGAGCCATGATGACCGTTTTGCCAGACACTTCATCATCATACTTGCTTTCCTTCCTCTTCCTGAGCAGCTCCTCCTCCCCCAGCTTGCGGATTTCATGGTCTGAATAGTGGCTTTTCTCCAGCTCTATCTAGAAGGGCAACGAAAAGAATTATGAAGGCACCAGTCTACAGGCTAGCACGGTCAGCAGAATTAAATTACTTCTCAGTGAATGCAGAATGATGGCGATTTCCCTAGGCTTGAGCAGGTGCCTGCTCGCAGTAAGCGCCTCTCCTGGGGACACCAACGGCGCTGGGGAAGGCCACAGGAGCGGACGCAGGCAGCAGATGGCACACGGTG